ACACTGAGCCATTTGCGTATTTTCCAAATATTGTKAATGTGGAAAAAGCATGATTTACATACTGCTGTTACATGGCATTCTAACGAAAGTTTTTTTGTCAAAAATTACCCCAATATTTCGTGCAGAAGAAGATGATAAAATATCAAAGCCAAGAATATTAMGTGACACTTCTGATGAGAAAGGGCGATGTGCAGCTGAAAGTACCACTAGTTCAGTTTTATCACCGTTAAGTTTAAGCTTGTTTTTGATCATCCATAAATCAATATCTTTGACACAGGCCTCAAASATGGCATAAAGATGTTRTAGAGAAAGAAATATATAATTGTRTATCATCTGCATATAGATGACAGCCCAGCTCATGCTGATGAATTATATCTGCTATGGGTGAAACATATAATGAAAATAAGATTGTTCCTAGAATTGATCCCTGAGGAACACCACAATCAAAAGGCCGAGAAGACGATTTGAAGACGTCTTGAAAGATGTATATAGCCGAATAAAAAGAATATCATGGTCAACAGTGTCAAAGGCTGCAGAAAGGTCAAGAAGGACAAGAAAAACTGATTTGTTCTTATCAATTTCAAGCAAGATGTCATTGTGTACTTTCAGAAGAGCAGTTTCCACGCTGTGGTTTTTCTTATATGCAGATTGCAATGGCACATGAAGATTATTTTTCTCAAGATGTTGAATCAGCTGTTGCGCAACCGCTTTTTCAATAGTCTTCGACAAGAAATTTAAATTAGAGATTGGTCGAAAACTAGAAATTTCTTCAGCTGTTAAATTCGGCTTTTTAAGGAGGGGCTTAATCACAGAAAGTTTTAGCATTGACGCTTTCACTAAAGAAAGATTGACAATCTTAGAAATGACAGGAGACAAATGGTTTGCAACCAATTTTAGAAATTTGCCAGGAGCAGGGTCAAGCTCGAAAGATTTTGACACCAAAGGAAAAATATGCTTAGAGAGATCCTCATGATGAATTTCAGAAAAAGATGTCAGATAATCATTTAGAATGACACATTCGCTAGACAGRGTATAATGGATATCCCCAAGATTATTTTGTATATTAATAATCTTGTTAATAAAAAAGAAATCAGCAAAACTATTTGCGAGATGGTTTGGCGAAACAGCAGATGGAAAATGTTTCTCACTCTTTTTGTGTGTCATTTTTTCAAAAGTAGAAAAAAAAGTTTTTTGGTTTGACTGATGCTCCTGGATAATCTTTGAGTAGCAGCCATTTTTAGAAGATTTTTGACAATATTACATTGTTCAACATATATAATTCTCTATCAACAGTTAAGTGAGAGCGAAGCCATCTTTTCTCAAGTTTCCTACGCTTAGCTTTTTCAGTCCTTATTTCTGATGTATACCAGGGATTGTGAGGACGCAGAGAAACTATACGGTTTTTAGATGGAGCATGCGAATTTAGGACAGAAGTGAGTGTAGAATCATACTGGTTAAGTAAGTTATGTAGATCATCATTAGGAGATATGACCAGAGAAGAATTTGAGATGTCATGAATAATAGCATCAGGATTTATTGCCTTCAGGTTACGGCTTTTTGTCACAATTTTTTGGAAAGGAGGTTTTTTGATTTTGAGATCACCGAAAACAGCCGAATGAAAAGAAATTGAAGGATCAGAAACGGAAATATTACAAATAACATCTTCCCCAGTCCTTGTAATTACAAGGTCAAGCGTATGTTTGCCCTGATATGTTGGCTCTTTAACATGTTGAGTCAAATTAAAAAGCTCTAATAAATTCAGAAATTTAAGGTTACTGTGGCCCTTCGCGGCGTCCGTTCGTTAAACAATCATTGGCGCGTTGGATCTCGCGCTTTTATAAAGTATTATATGTCATATGAAAGCTGAATTATCAGAGAATATGTCTATGTAATTTTTATGACAATAGTTCTTATTCATAACGCGTTTCAACGCTCTGAACTAAACAAGGGTACTCTTGTTTGCAAGAGTTCAGTGTCAACACGTTGGGCTGTATAGTCGAAAGAACTGTACAATATAAGTCAACACATACCTATCTGACAATCGTGTGAGCGATTTTTAATATTTTACTTAGTTTAGAAATAAATCACAGTTGAATCGAAGAATGCACTTTTTTTGGCGTAATTTGATATAAACCTCAATAAAAGAAAAACCAAGACGTAATTTGAGAAACGCTCACACGATTTTCCTATTCATGAGTTGCATGTGCTTCTGGGAAATTTTCATAACATTTTACCGTAATCGCGAGGAACTGGACTCTTTTAAACTTCGCTACCCCGAGAAAAACACTAAACGAGATATCAAGCAATGAAGTTGTGTAAACATAGAATCATCATCTTTCATCGCGGTCAAGAAAGGTCAACCAACTGGCCAATTAGAAACGCGGCTCACCTGGTGTGCCTGGAAATGTTCTTTATTTCGCGGCATATATGATTTCGCGGGAAGCTTAGAATAGTTAGATGTTAGAAAATATGCCCCCAAAAAAGAAAGTTAAAAAACCTAATGAACTTGAGAG